GGAAGCAAAGATCCCTGCGGAGATGAAAGGCTGGCTGCGAGGAGTGACAACGGCCACCACGGCTGGTGACAGAGGACACCCCGGCTGGTGACAACGACCACCACGGCTGGTGACAACGACCACCCTGGCTGGTGACAACGACCACCACGGCTGGTGACAAAGGACACCCCGGCTGGTGACAACGACCACCCTGGCTGGTGACAACGACCACCCCGGCTGGTGACAACGACCACCACGGCTGGTGACAAAGGACACCCCGGCTGGTGACAACGACCACCTTGGCTGGTGACCCGGCTGGTGACAGGGCCACCCTGGCTGGTGACAACGACCACCCTGGCTGGTGACAACGACCACCCTGGCTGGTGACAGGGCCACCCTGGCTGGTGACAAAAGCCACCCTGGCTGGTGACAAAGGACCACCCTGGCTGGTGACAAAGGCCACCCCGGCTGGTGACAAAAGCCACCCTGGCTGGTGACAGGACCACCCTGGCTGGTGACAACGACCACCCTGGCTGGTGACAACGACCACCACGGCTGGTGACAAAAGCCACCCTGGCTGGTGACAAAGGCCACCCTGGCTGGTGACAACGACCACCCTGGCTGGTGACAAAAGCCACCCTGGCTGGTGACAAAGCCACCCCGGCTGGTGACAAAAGCCACCCTGGCTGGTGACAGGACCACCCTGGCTGGTGACAGGACCACCCTGGCTGGTGACAACGACCACGCCGGCTGGTGACAGGACCACCCTGGCTGGTGACAGGACCACCCTGGCTGGTGACAAAAGCCACCCTGGCTGGTGACAGGACTACCCTGGCTGGTGACAAAGGACACCCCGGCTGGTGACAAAAGCCACCCTGGCTGGTGACAAAGCCACCCTGGCTGGTGACAACGACCACCCTGGCTGGTGACAAAGCCAGCGGCACGGGCAGCGATGGTGCTGCGCTCTAACCCGGGCGTCGTTCTCCTGTGCTCTTTCCTGCCCAGTGACTACATCATCGAGGAGAAGACGGCCGTGCT